AGGCTTACAAAAGTTTTAATATTAAAAAATTAAAGGCGACGCCATCTAGCCTCAGCGGCTGGGTGCATCGTAAAGCCCAATGACAACAATAAAAACAGCTCTGGGGCAAAGCGAAACCGTAGCCGAAAAACTACAGCACAAGGATGCCCAGGCGTTCGGAAAACAATCCGAAGGCTCCACCATGTGAATGCATGTCGGGAACAAGCACGCCAAAAATGCTTCATCGACTCAGTGTCTTACAACAAGAATGTGCTAAATCGGGATCTGAGGGTACGTTTACGTTTAAACATTATGCGATGCGCTGTGGTCTCAACTGAGCACAGCCTGTTGTGACTGTCGTGGGCAGCGGGGGAAAAAGCTTCTGATTTACCAAATATGATCAGCGACAAAAACTGACGCTTTGGCGAACCGATTAGTTGAAAAATTGCGGAAATGAAAACAAATTTCAACAGATAAGACCAGAGTACAACGGGTTATCCCAGCTCGACGGGACTCAAGCTTAGTATTCGTGTGTACTCGCTGACGCTTGCAGCGTGAGCACATGTCGAAACGTTGACGTTTCTCTGTATGATCAAGCTGAGCCATCAAATGCGGCCAAAAGCAGTAGCTTTAATCAGGCTAGTTTTTAGCAGGTACCAGAAACATACTGTGAGCTACGTCATACTCTGCTGATGTCAAAGATCAGTGGTGACACAGTGTTTTTCTAAAGCCCCTCAGATCAGTGCTTTTCGCAGGTTTTTGAGGCAAGATTCACTTCACATACTAGACAGTGTAAAATACTAAATAACTAGGCTTATGACTAGTGGTGAGAAGCGTGGCTGGCTGAGGCATCTTGCGACAAACATGATCAGTTTGCTACGCAGCCTTTTAATGCGTCATACCATTTGAAACATATGGCCTGGATTGCTCGCCACGCGGTAATGTGTAGGTAATGCATTGGGTTCAGTGCAAAGCTGTGATCTGCTGTTGGCTGTGTTCGTGACGTGAGAAGCTGACGGGCCAGAAGGACGTAACTAATGGTCAGGGTGTACTTTCCTACCTAACGTTAGCAAAAATCATTGTACACCATTCGTCGTGTTTAAGGCAGGACATATCGTAAATAATAACAAAACAGGTAGATTCATGCTCTAACCTTCGAATTTTCCATACTTACGATGCCGAGCTCCTGAGCGCCGCACACACACAGCAACCGCGAAACCGGCGCCATTGCTGCGCGCGGTAACAACATTACTGCGAATCAAGCAGCATCAAGAACCATAAAAATGTACCGGCAAAGGTAACAAGAATCCCTGAAATTTGATCCTCGACGCCAACGGGACGATCGCTTGCAGGGGGATTGGGTGGAGAATGTAAAGCAAAATGAAAACATGGCGGCTAAAAAACCTCACTATACGGTACCTATAAATGGCATGGAACATGGACGCCATTGGGAGCTCGGCTCGGCTCGGCTCGGCTCGGCTCGGCTCGGCTCGGCTCGGCTCGGCTCGGCTCGGCTCGGCACGGCTCGGCTCGGCTCGGCTCGGCTCGGCTCGGCACGGCTCGGCTCGGCTCGGCACGGCTCGGCTCGGCTCGGCTCGGCTCGGCTCGGCTCGGCTCGGCTCGGCTCGGCTCGGCTCGGCTCGGCTCGGCTCGGCTCGGCTCGGCTCGGCTCGGCTCGGCTCGGCTCGGCTCGGCCTAACCTAACCTAACCTAACCTAACTTAACCTAACCTAACCTAACCTAACCTAACCTAACCTAACCTAACCTAACCTAACCTAACCTAACCTAACCTAACCTAACCTAACCTAACCTAACCTAACCTAACCTAACCTAACCTAACCTAACCTAACCTAACCTAACCTAACCTAACCTAACCTACCTAACCTAACCTCCCCACCCTATATGCCCTTCAACCCAGCGTCCCATTGGCGTCCATGTTCCATGCCATATATAGGTGCCGTAAAGTGAGCTTTTATTTAGCCGCCATGATCTCATTTCGCTTTACATTCCCCACCCAACCCCCGTGCGACCCATCGTTCCGTTGGCGTCGAGGATCAAATTTCATGGATTCTTGTTACCCTGGCCGGTACATTTGTATGGTTCTTGATGCTGCTTGATGCGCAGTAATGTTGTGACCGCGCGCAGTAGTAGCGCGGGTGTCGCGGCTGCTGTATGTGCGCGGCACTCGGGAGCTCGCCATCGTAATTGTACAAAATTCGAAGGTAAGAGCATGACTCTACCTGTTTTGTGATTATTTACGATATGTCCTGCCTTAAACACGACGAATGGTGTACGATGATTTTTTCTAACGTTAGGTAGGAAAGTACACCCTGACCTGTTGTACGACTAGTTACGATATGTTTTGCCTTAAAAACGACGATTGATGTACAATGCTCTTTTTTAACATTAGGCACCATTGTATACCATCACCTGTAGCTAATCGTCAGTTTTAGGCAATAGCGTTGAAGAGTACTGCCGATCTAGTGTTGCTATTTGTACATACCTGAGCTGTAGCAGAGGTCGTTGGAGCGACACATGCTAAGAATTCATCCAGGGCTTCCTGCTACTGGGAGGGATAGCGGCCTTGATATAAGGGGCCGGTCATCCCTGGTGTAGGCCTCTCACATTGCCCGTTGCACCTCAGACTTAGCGCGCTGATCGGTGGACAGGCATGAAATAAAACGCTCTTAGGCGTCATCATCTTGCATATGAAACTAAATGAAGGTGCTGGAGGTGTTGAAAGATGTCGTTTGGATCTCTTGATACCAATTTTGTATGGGTTTTGCTCTAAATAATGGGGATCACGTCAGGGAACGCGAGTTCTGCACCGGCAATAGTTATGCCAAGATGATGAAGGTAAAAACAAAAGTGATATTGTTTCGGGTGCTTGTAGAATCATGTTATCGGTAATTGTAAGCCCGCAAAGATGCAGTTTTGTAAAATGCATAGGGGTGAGGAATGGAAGGGGAAGGGGGAGGGTGCAGAAATAAAAATGGCTGGGCCTGCCTTCAAAATGCACTTAAAAGTTTTCTCCCAGATTTGACGCAATTTTTCGTAGCTGGCGGCAGAGGTGTGCCTCCTCAAAATCAGTGTTTGGGGACTAGGCCCCCAAATCATAATAAATGAAAAACTGGACAAAAATGATACCTAAAATGGGAAGCTGTATCTCTGGTTAGGAGGCCTGATCCTCCCCCCCCCCCCCCCCCCACTGAATAGGATCTAAAACCTTAAGGCTGGCTATGTTAACTATGCCTTTATCTGATAAGTCTGTAAGGTTAGTCTCAACCGTCATTCAATGTTTGATGGCCAGCAAATGAAACTACAGCACAAATGAACGTCCGAAACTAAAATCCTTGATGGTTGTGCCGCATTGCATTTAATTTGCATTTGCCTTCTGTGGTTTATTGCATTCAGAGGCATATTGCAACAGTTTCTGAAAGATATGACCCCCAAGTGACGATTCAGACGGTTGCCAATTTCGTCGGTGACAGAAAAGATACTTTTTCACCCCTGCTCGTGGGTACAGTGCTTCTTTTTACAAAGACGTTTGGTTGTCAGATAGTAACATGACACATTCTCGGCGCTGTCTTTAAACGGCTTTACATGCGGAGGCGTTGCACTTCGTTTAGTGAAGGAATTTTCCACATTTTAAAGTATTGAGACGAACATCAGCTATGATGAAACGAAATCGCTTTTCACTGTTGGTATGCTTTTTAGTGGAAAAGACTGCTCTAAAGAACAAAATTTCAATATTTATTACACTGCTCCTCGATACATCTTTGCCTGATTACGTCAGGGAGTGTTTGTGTGACGATGAGGTGCTGCCAAACTAGCCGTGCGAAATCGCCACCCTAGCACGCGCTTGTACTTCAGTGGCCCGAGACGTGGCCGTGCCAGTGCTGGAAGTTTTTGCTGAGCCGCGTGTCGTGATGGGTTCTTGTTTGGCCCTTTCTCGTGATGTTCTTGCATATTTATCCTTGAACTTACGATGTTCGCTTGTATTCACGTCCTCAGTTATGGCGCTATTTACTTGCCCAGCCTGCTCTACAATGACTGGGAGCCAACTGACGTTCATTATATCTGGAGGGCATGTTCGCGAACACCAGATCCGAACAGCTCGGTGATTATTTTCTCCTTGACCTTGAATTCCGCATGGCCTGTGGGGTGGAAGGATTTGAATGACGTTTCTATGGCGGCATGCGTGCCTGATTGACCAGAAATAGTCTGCGCGAAATATTTTGCACATCTTGGCATGTGTGTAGCTCAGAAACTACAAGGTTTTAGGTCTAATAAAGGGCAGGGCTGTGATCTTCACCGGATGATCTTAAAATGACCATTTCATTTCAAAACTCCATACAGATGAGAAATATTCCCCTTTAACTTTATGTTAAATGTGTGCTTGAAGCAGAGTTTGAAGAATATTTAATTCCACTAATAGTACTTCTGATATGCGTTGTTTCTGCCTGCTTAGTCTGCTGGGCGGATTTGCCGACCTTCCACAGTGTTGCGATATGCATAAAGCTCTGTACCTACAAGTATAAGCAGGCGTTTATACACGACTGCTGCGGTCGATATATTCCCCATTGACGTATTTGCGTGCATTGTGTGTTTTACCGGCTCTGGGGAACATTGGTGATAGTTCAAAGACGAGACACCTACACCCCACCCGTGCAGCACACGTAATGAGCTGATGTGTTCTTATCGTGCGAAGCGTAGAGTGCAGTGAGGGAGGGTGGGTGATGAAGCCAGCAGTGCGTGACACAGCAGGTTTACCCCCTCCCCCCCCCCCCACATCGATAGCGAGACGGGAAGCCCTGGGGCTAAGAACGCCACACAACAGCCATGCTGCGATGCGAATGTAGCACCTGAGTCAATGCCGCTGAGGCGCTATAGATTATATAACTTCCGCCCCACATGCAGTTCGCGCCGATATAAAACGATGTCCGTGGCTCAGCTTTGTCCATAGAATCTCTCAGCTGCGGACGAACGCCGCTCGCTCGCTCTCAGTCATGCTCTCGCTGCTGCTGCCGCTCTGCCTGCTGGTCCCAGCGCTGGGTCAGGACGCGCCGCTGGCCGTCGGCGTCTACTACGAGTCCCTCTGCCCGGACTGCAAGAACTTCGTCGTCGATCAGCTGAACGTGACCGTCAGCCGCGTGCCCGACCTGGTCAACGTCACCCTCGTGCCCTGGGGCAAGGCCAACGTCTCGAGCGACGACGGCAGCGTGCACTGCCAGCACGGCCCCGAGGAGTGCTGGGCCAACCGGCTGCATGGCTGTGTCGCCGCCGCCATCGACGACGCTTCTGTGCGCACGCGCGCCGTGGCCTGCCTGATGGCCGCACAGAAGACCCTGCGGGCTGACGGGCCGGCGTGCCTGCAGGAGGCGGGTCTGAGCTGGGATGACGGCGTGGCCTGCGCCGGCTCGGCGGCCTCCCGGCAGCAGGCGCTGGAGTTCCAGCAGCTGACGCACGCGCTGCAGCCGCCGCTGACCTTTGCGCCGACCATGACCCTGGACGGCAGCCAGGGCACCGCCGAGCAGCAGAAGCAGCTGCTGGACGACCTGCTGGGTGTCGTGTGCAGCACGTGGCAGCAGCGCACCGGGCAGACGCCCGCCGGCTGCCAGCAATAGGAGCACCGCAGGACGCTGAGCTCCCCATGCACTGAGTGCGTATGGCTGAGGTCACCTGAGGCCAGGGCATGTGACGTGGCACTGCATAACGTTTAGAGCAGGCACATCCGTTGTGTTTTTCAGGACCACCCATATTGGTCTTTGCCTTAAGCTACTGACATGGGATGTCGGCGCTGTACCATCAGGCTAAGGATGTGTGTTCAGCAGGCCCATGGCAGCGTTTATTTGCCTGTCTCTGATTACAGACCTGGGTGCCCCTTGGTACAAGGTGCATTCTGTTTGCGTGGGCTATTCAACGACGCTTCAACAGTGTGTTCTCTGAATGGTGGCGACGAAGCGCCAACACACTACGCCAGCCACGTGGATCGAGCAAACTGTGTCCCAAGCCCATGTCACCGGGGCCCCGACCTTCATAAGCAAATGGAAACCCATTTCTTACTTCGGGGTGAATCCATTCATAATCTATGACGTACGACCCGAGCCCATTTCCTGCTCGGCCGAGAGGCGAAGTAAGTGCGTTTGTTTGCAGGTGAGTCGTCGGTGCTCTCCTTGCGACACTATAAATGGTCGATGCGCTGTTCGGGGTCTTGTTTGTCCGGGAAACAGGCAGGTCTCGATCTCAGGCGGGCACCGCGGGGAATCGAACCCCGTACCTCTGGTTTCCCAGACGCGTGTCGTGATCAACGCGGACGCGTTAACCGCTACACTATCGGTACGCTCAAATGCGCCATTCCAACGCGCTGCATGTTTCTATGGGGCTGGATCAGCTGATTCTACTTTTGCCCATATTTGGAATAAAGGCGTTCTCTATGGCAGCACCTCAGTGCGTGGAGCTCGGGCCGTAAGGCAATGAGGAACTAAGCTTGGCTGTGTGCGTCCTTGCCTGTTATGCAGGCCCGCCGTGCACCGCCCAGTGTGAACAGCGTGGCGCGGGTGCCGTAAGGTGCAGAGCATGGACTCTTTTTGCTTAAAGTATCCTATTCAGTGACAGTAAGGATGCAAGGTGAAACGCGGGCATGATGGCGTGGGGGGGGGGGGGGGAAGCCAGGTAGTGGTGGTTTATCATGGCAAGGTGTTAGCCCATATGTTCATGACTAAAGACAAAGCGCAAAGTGGCAATGTGTCGGGAGCTTCGGCTTTGTTCGGGTTAAACATATTCTTAGTAACGAAAATATTCCTGCAGGTACAAAATGTCATGACTTCCTGGCGGGCTAAACACTTTTACACGAGCGATTTTTGTGAGACTCTTGGGTTTCTGCTTGCTCCTAGACGAATGAGCAAATGCTTCATTGAGATGTTCTTCAGAATGATACCCCATAGCTGCGCTACATACGCCACATCGGGTCCTGTCTGTTTGATGAAGCCCGGCCAGCTGCCACCGGCGCCGGGCGGACGCTACCGTAGTCTCCGTACCTGCTAGCGTATTTCCACAGTCGTCGCAGGCCTCCGCGTTGTTTGTCGCGCTGTACCGAGATGGAATGCCCGCTGGCCTGGCGTGCGCAGAGCTCGAGCCCATCGACCCACTCCTCCGCTACGGTATGCCCTCATGGTTTCCGCTAATTTGGCTAAGAATGGCTGCACGTCCTGCTGTGTCGAGTCGTAAGCTGCTGCATTCCTGAACACCTCATTCCGTCACCGTGAAGTCGGGTGAAATTCATCTCTGAGGCGGTGTCGGTGAACACGAACGCGGGATGCAACAAGATATGGTTATCGTCTTGTTTTATTCAACCAGAAACTGATATATGCAAAACTAGTAGACCCAGAGTAATAGGAAGAAGGGATTTAAATATATTTCATTCAAGGATCGCTATTTGCACCGACATTGATTGCTTCAATATACATTTCAGAACGACAAAATGCTGTTATCCCGACGTTTCAGTGACAAAACTTTGCATGCGCCATGTATACGATCCACGAAATCGTGACGCAGTTAAAGGAAGTGTTTCCACATTTGCAGGAGGTTTTGGGATGAAAAAAATCGCCTTGTAGATCAATCAGTGCAGTTCATAGCCCTGCACTTCTTCAGGCCTAAACCCCTCTAGTTTCTGAGCTACACGCCCGCGAATATGTTCAAACTAGTAAGGGGGACTATTTCAAGGTCACGCAGGCATCCACGACGCCATAATAACGCCATTGAAGTCCTGCCATTCCACTTGTCATGCGCCGATCAAGGTCAAAGAAAATATAGTTGTTGAGTCGTTCATGTCTGGCGTTCATGAGCACGATTTCCAGGTGTAACAACCGTCAATAGACCCTCAATCAATGTTGTCCAACGTACGATGACGTTATCAGCAATAACGTGTTGAGGAGCATGTTCGCTAACCAGAGAAATTGTGTTGCCTAGTGCAGTATTTTCGAGTCAGAATTACACCAATAGTGATAAGTGAGCTTATTTCATGACAGCTGATACTGGCTTTAACATCCTCAAATGCGGAACATTCCATTCAAACATGGTCAGGAGAAGATCATGCACGAACAGGTTACACGGCATGGCTGCACCCGGAAGTACTTTACATATTCATTACAACATGGTCATTATGTGCGCAATCATGAGGGTCCTTCAACAGCTCCATCAAAGTCTTTGAGAACATGTGTGATGAAATTCAAGATCTACTAATCTCTTGTTGACACCATACAAAAGAAGCCCTGACGACAGAAACTTCGCACAGCAGATCAAAAATTTATTTTGTTATACATCATGTCGCAGGAGGAGGACAACTTAAAACACCCTAGTGTAGTCAGTAGCTGCAGTGCCAAATAACATGAAACGAATGTTGCCATCGTGCTTCCATATTTTGCGCGCCATTTCAATGATCAACAGATATCGCAGCCAACAGCCATCGGTTTGGTACTGCTGCAGAAAAACGCAATCGTTAAGACAATTGTGTTCGGCGGAAGAGAACACACGTTTGCGCGCTCTGAGACAGCTGTGCAATGCAATGCATGAATGCGTAGATACCACTGCACGTTGTTGACATATCTTTGTTTGGAATCTTTCTTTATCCATGGGCCCCGCAGTCCTGACACTTAAGGGCCTCGCTGAGGCGTCTGCTGTTGTTAAGCCTGTCACGGGTCATAATGGCAAGGCATCATTGACCACTTCGCCCGTTTTTCCGATGTCTCTCACTGCTACCGTCGGTAACGCGACAAACCCTCCAGCCCATTCCAAGGGAACCGTGGCTCAGCTGGCATGGAGCCTCGCACCACATGGCCGGGATGTGAGGCCATGTTGCTGTCTGCTGGTGCCGAGCCGCACCGCTTCCCTGACGTCTGGCCCGCAGCTAATCGGGATATGTCGAGAGAAGCCAGCAAACCGCTCAACTCTGAAAGAGCACCCAAGGCATGGCTGCAGTGGATCTAACTTTACGAAGCCTGCAAGTCGTGACGGCAAGCCGACCGACAGTGTAGCTTCCTGTTACATGAATAATTGCGCAAATTCCCAACAACATGTCAAGCCTCTGTTAAAGTCGCTCCGACTCTAATGAGCCCGTCCGGCCCAGCCCTCCGGCCGGGCGGCTGGCGTCAGCACGCTGGTCCGACCGCGGCGGTTCCGGTGGCCCGCCATCTCACCGGAAACGACGTCGCCCGGCCGTTCGCAGCGCTCCCCGGGGGCCATAACTCGGCCGGGGGTTGCGGCTGCGTCCCATGGTGCCATAACGACGCGGCGCCGCCGGCCGGCCGGCTCGGTGCCGTGATAGCACCAGTGGTGCTCCGCCGCGGCCAGCTCGGTACGTTGATAACGCCAGTGATGCGTCGTCACAGCCGGCCGCAAGTCTGTCTTGGGTGTGCCCCGCTCCGTCTGCGGACGGCTACCGGCGGAGACAGCTTAGGCTGACCGCTGACCATTGGGTCGCCGATCTGGGCCGCTGCTCCACTGGGACGCCGCTTCAATGGACCCTCGTTCGGCTGGACCGCCGCTTCAATGGATTATCATTCCGCCGGACCGCCGCTTCAATGGACCATCGCTCCGCTGGACCGCCGTTACAATGGATTACCATTCTACTGGACCGTCACTTCAACGGATTATCATTCCGCTGGGCTGCCGCTTCAATGGCCCATGGTTCCGCCAGAGCGCCACTTCAATGAATCATCGTCCCGTCGAACCGCCGCTTCAATGGACCACGGTCCCGTCGAACCGCCGCTTCAATGGACCACGGTCCCGTCCAACCGCCACGGCCGCCTTGGCGGTTGCGGGACCTGAAACATGTAATTCTGTGCCCGGCCCTCTCTTTTTCTTTGCCTGGAACTCCGAGCGGGATGGCCTTGTTAATTCCGCTCCTCGTGTGAAATGGACAGTTGCCCTCAATGTAAACAGTTCTGGAAATAGCTCCTAACTGCCCAAACAGCTGCCTCGAAACAAAAGGAACAGCCATTCGCAGCATTGTTTTTCAACTACACCGCTTTGAAGCGCAGCGTTTGGGGCTGCGCGAGGTTGCAAGTAAATCCAAACCCTCGCATGGGGTGGTCTTCAAAGATCTGCTCGTTCAGGAAGTTTTAGGCATACGGGAAGTTTTGTGGGCCCTGTAGTTAACCGAAACTGAGTCTCATTGGAGTTCATGGGGCAATCTAAAACCGCTTATGATCAGGAGCACGAAGGCGTTACTTGAACTTTTGAAGGCAGCAACAGGAGTCTTGGTAAACAGACGCGATGATTGTTGACATTGCAAATTGATGAGCTTTCCTTTTTATGTGTCTCCCCCTCCCTCTTCAGACTGCGGTGACAGCACCTGGGAAGTATAGATATCGTTGCTTTCTTCGCGCCACTTGTTGAAGTGAATTAGACTGAACAGTTGAACATTTACGACAACGCCTGGCTCGTCTGGTTTTCAATTGAAGCCGTATCACACTTTTTCAGATTCCTCTTCAGGATGCGCGCCACCTCATGCTCCCGGAGAGATAATTTGTTCGAGCTTTGTCATCACAGACTTTGTGATGGAGGGGGCTTGCAGGAAAACGTGTCTGCGCAAATTCTTGGATCCCGAGGGTAGATCCAGGATCCTATGGGTTTCAATGCTAATGGAGTTCCGGGATTAGATTCTGGTATCGGACTTTGGGAACCATGCACATGTTTGGTGCAGAGACGAGTTGTTGGAGTGATTGGCCCGAGGGATTTCCAGTGGGAAACTGCGTGAAGCAGAAGGCTCGGAGCGTACGGATTCGTAACGAAAAGGATTCATAAGCCACAAAAGGTTATAACAATAACAGGCTCAAAGTAATCAAAGCTGACCTTATCTTCGAGAAAAAGTCATAAACGGAAAGATCGCTGGCTTCGTACGCCTGAAAAATGCTCCCAAAATTCATCGCGACAGCCAAAACGGAGTGAAGCTTATTGGAGATATCGCCCATACACCAATGATGCTTTTACACCTGTAAACGTACCCGAATGACAGTGTAGACCGCACGGCAGTGGGCGTTGATTTAACAGGGTTGTCCCGGTATTCAGGTGTACAGTAGCAGCAGCTATCTTAAGTTTATACTCGTAGCCCCAATATGTTATCGAGGCCGCGTTGCTGAGAGTCGAGAGAATCGCCAAACCGTCAGATCAGAAATTCCACATAGAAATGTTGCCCGCTGCGAAAAAACATACAGTCATAAGTAAAGATGACACTGAGCATCAGGATTCTCATAATCTGAAATGGCTCACCTATCTCTCACAACACCCAGGGTTGTATTACAATTTCCTAAAGCAAAGTTTATTGCTGATCCTATCGACGCTCAACAGTGTATGCCATTAGCTATTTACGTTAATCAGCGTGTTAATGAGCAGTTCCGACCACATCAGCCCAAGCAACAACT